AGATGGCCCCCACCGCCCTTACCCATCTGGGAATTATGGCAACGGGTCCAAGAACGGCGAACGACCAGCGCAGCGACCGCGGACGGCTCGCAGCCAGAGGTGGGGCTCAGCAGCTTCAGCAGCACTGGCGCCTCAGCCACCAGCAGCAGAGGCGGCAGAGGACGCACCGATGGAGGGCGAAGAGGTCGAGGAGGAAGAGGGCCGACGGCGACGCCGCAGAGGCGGCAGACGAGCTCACAGAGGCCAACACACCGACAAGAGTTGGACGAGCAAGGACAAGGATCTTCATTCGCTGCTCCTGACACTCATGACGTTGACTTTACAGAATACACAACGGATCAGACTGATGATGTGCGCAATGGCAGACACGTTTACGATGAAGATCACCCACCCGATCATCAACCACATCACGGAAGAGCTGGAGGGCTTCCGCGAGAGGGTCAGCGGCCCACGATCGGCGAAGGACAAAGAAGGTCTCAAGCACTTGGGACCTCCGACCCCCGCGCTGGCCCTGGCGATGCTCGAGGGCCTTCAGGCATGCGAGATAGGCGGCCGCGTGCGGACGCAAGTGGACGAGTACCTCGAGAAATGCCAGCCGAAGGACCACGAGACCGAGCCGACAATCGACATGGACCAGATCAACGATCAAGTACACTTCATCAGAATCGAGAAGACCGCAGACCCCCAAATCGCCAAGCTTGTGCTGGACATCAAAGACTGGGACGGCCGCACCATGCTCTTAGATGGCCTTCGGGCCGAGGGACAGACATCCCATCACCTGGGGCCCGCCCCAGCGGGCTGGCTGGAAGAGGAGATCTCGGTTTGGCTGTAGCACTTTCGGAAGACCGCCGCAGAACTTTCGTCCAGGGCGATTCTCTACCAGCGTCTACACTAGCACCGACGCCAGCTCAGGCACCATCTCCGCCTGCGTCAGACCACATCGTCGTGAATGCCGATTCAGCCATATGGGAAGCTGATGATGAGGCCGCAGACTTTTTATTTTCCTGCGGAGATGGTCCGCCGACCCCCTTAGCACTGTGTATGACTTCCTCCGTTAACCTCCCCCCCGTCTTATCATAATCTAGGGAACAGATCCGTGATGAACGCCAGTTTCAGGGTCTCTTTCAACGTGCAATGCTTGTCCGCCCGCCCATTGCGTGCGGCACCGTTGCAGCGCACGGCCTTTAAAGGCAAGAGCCAGCCCTCCAGTTCGGAAGCGCTGCAGCGGCGAGCAAAACATGTATACTCTTTTCGAGGGATTCGGCGGTGTAGCCCGAGGCCGCGGTGTCGTGTGGCATGGCCGTCTCACTCCCACTCGTGGTAGCGTCCATCAATACAAACACAGTATGTGAAACTATTGCTGCTCCCATGCCGTCGGAAAAAAACCGGTTGGGTCGAGGCCTCTGAGGGTCGACGGAGGTCTGGACCCGTTCCGTGGGCCCGGTTGTGCATCCTGAGTCGTTGTTTGACGGTCCCGCGGCCCGGTAAGGGCCCACGGAGGCCGAAAATAGCGAAAAACCTCCCGTCGCGAGCTCTGCACAACACGAGAAGGTCTGGGCTCGTTCCAGGAGCCCTGGAGCCCCCCCAGCTGCCACCTCCTGGAGGCCGAGCTATGCGTCCTTTTTCCAACGCTACACCCTCTAAGAGTCCTTATGGATGTCTTGCGGCGGGCCCTATCAAAAAACTACCGATCTCTCGGCGCAGCATAATTCTGTCGAGACGAATTAGCTGGGGCCTGAAGGGAGCGCAGAGGCTGGGGTGACGTGAAGCGCTGGCCTCCCGCCCACAGGGTCCCACCCCCGAGCACCCCCTCCTCTAAGGGGATGGCACTTCGAGAGCGGTCGCAGCAGGACCCCCTAGTCCCGCCGCGAGCCCTCGACCCAAAAGGTACCTAGCTTCCTCGGTCTCTTGGGACCGTTCCAGATCTAAAAAACCGATCTAACCCACGGAGCTCACAGGTGGCTGCAGCAGGGGCGTTCACTTCTGCTTGGGGCGCTTGGGGTGTTTCTTGCCGCCTCCGCCGCCGCCCTTGAACACTAGCTTCTCTAGCTCCTTCGCATCCTTGCTCCTGGGGGCCGTATCGTCCTCGAGCACTATGTTCACTGACTGCAGGCCGCCGTTCTCTTTCAGGCAGTACATGGCTTGCATGAGAGGCGGGTGCGCCATAGCGGCGAATATCCACTTGGTTTCCTCCACCGTCTTGCCATCGACGTCGGTCTTCGTCTGAACGTCGAAGCAGCGGGTCGCCTTGAGCCGCACCTCCTTGTTGTTCAAGCTCTTGCCGAGGTTGACCACCAGTCTCAGCGCCTCTTTCGACTCGACTGGCTGCGGCCCTTGGGCCACTGCTGCGCGAACGTCCTCCAGCTTGCCCTCGACCGCTTCGCTCAGGCGGAATAGCAGCATGCGGAGGTAGGCGTCGGGCTTCTTCCCTAGCGGGTGGCCGCGATACTCGCTTGGCTCGACCGCAGCGCGCGCCTCCTTGCCGACCTTCAGGTAGTTCTGGATGCCCGCCGCGAGCGCCAGCTGCATCTGGGAGCCCGTCTTCAGCTTCACCACCACGTTCTGGTCGCGCGCCGAGCCCCTGAAGTTGTCTTCGTGGCGGAGCAGCAACTTCGTCATGAGCCTGTCCTTCTTGGAGATGCCCGATGGCCCCGCGTCCTCGGGTTCGACTCCGCCCTCGCTGACCTCGGCCTTGGCCGCGTCCCTCTTCTTGATGATGTCCGCCGCGGGCTCGAACATTGGGAGGAGGCGCTGAGGGCGGAAGCGGTGGTCCTGCAGGTGGCACTGGAGCGCGCTGAGAGCCAACGCGCTGCGGGCAACGGTGTTGAACATGACGAAGAAGGACATCTTTGCGAGAAAAAGAGGCACTGCAGAAGGGGCATCTCTTAGCATTCAGATCAGCCATGGGGATATCCAACCTATTGGCAACGATGTCATGAACCGCGAACCTGTGATTCTCCAACCCTTTCTGGCCCTGACATATTTTTCCGCAGTCGGGGCAAACGAGGCGATGCTCTTCATCAATGTCGCCAGCTTCTCTGAGTCGGTCACTCTCAGCTTCGTGTGAGAGGACGGCCTTGAGCTCTGCGTGTGAGAGCATGTCTAGCCACTCCAGCCAGTCTCGTGAGACAGTCGGCGAATCGTTCGGAGCGCGCATCTGGCTCTCCTCGGGAAGACAAGCCCACAACGCACGAAGATCTGCGAGAAGTTGCCCCAATCGACAATTGTGATTTCGACTGTGAGGGTCCTCGAACGAGAGTCGGCCGAAGATTACCGCCCGTACAGCCTCGGTGGGGTCATACTCGGGTCTTTCTGCTTGGAGCCCAGGGGCAATCACGTGTCGCCACCACTGCAGCCTACGATACAGTAAAGTAGAGCTCATACTATAGACTTTGGCACGACGTCGGATATCGGCATTGGAGACATGGTGAAGATGAGCGGGGGAGCGAAGTATATGTCGAAGTTTCTTGGTTTGCCAACGTTCGAGTTTCTTCAAATCCGTCTTCGTGAGAAAGGCAACTTCTAGTGCGTATAGGGCGATAGACCGTACTAGCGAATTCCACAAACGTATCTTGAGACGCAGGCTGAGGTTCCCTTTCAGGACCTTCTGGGACAGCCGGCCGTGGGCCTGGTTGGCGGAGGTCAGGCGAGCCTTGACCTCAGCCGAGGACGACCCCGTCGCCGAGAGCAAACAGCCAAGGTACTTTACAGTCGGCGTCGGGTGGATCGCGCGAGCCTGGCCGTCGGCATGGGTCAAGCTAATGCCAGTCTGCTTAGCACTGATTTTCTTCCGTACCCGTCTGCACCCCTTCCCCACCACGCTCACCATCAGCTCGGTTTTCGGGACGTTCATGGTTAAGCCGCTGGCATTAACGTGGATCCGCAGAAACTCTAGGAACTCGGAGACCGTCGCTAAGTCGTCGACCACGGTCAACGCGATTAGGTCATCTACGAACTTCACCTGGGACGCATCTAGCATCCGCAACTCGATAGCGGAGAAACCGACCGCGGTGTCGTGTGGCATGGCCGTCTCACTCCCACTCGTGGTAGCGTCCATCAATACAAACACAGTATGTGAAACTATTGCTGCTCCCATGCCGTCGGAAAAAAACCGGTTGGGTCGAGGCCTCTGAGGGTCGACGGAGGTCTGGACCCGTTCCGTGGGCCCGGTTGTGCATCCTGAGTCGTTGTTTGACGGTCCCGCGGCCCGGTAAGGGCCCACGGAGGCCGAAAATAGCGAAAAACCTCCCGTCGCGAGCTCTGCACAACACGAGAAGGTCTGGGCTCGTTCCAGGAGCCCTGGAGCCCCCCCAGCTGCCACCTCCTGGAGGCCGAGCTATGCGTCCGCCGGCTTCCGCCAGCGGAGCCGCCGCCGCGTTCATTCCGCCGGTTTCCGCCGGTGGCGAGGCGCGCGGAAGGCAAGGCCTCTTCTGAAGCGCCACAAGTTGTTGTTCCGTCTTTGTTGTTCGGGCTGTCTGACAGTTGTTTCACCAAGGCTGCCCACCTGCGCGCTGGAACTGCACCCAAAATGGGCAACGCAGGCAGGAGCGCCACGAGTGCGCACGCGCTGAACTCTCTTCCATGAACAGCACGGCGAGACACCTGCACACGGAGTTGACTCCAGGCGCCGTCGAGAGCCCCAGGAGGAGGACGAGGACGAGGACGAGGAGGACGGTGATTCAAGGAGGGGGTCCTGAGGGATGAGGTCCTAAGGACGAGGTGCCTGAAACAATGTACATCCACCCCTGGATCCCCTCCCGTCTTGGCTGCCCCAATACGCAGCACGCAGCACGCAGCGTCTTGACACGGAGCCCAGCACCGTAGACTGAAAACGTAGGCTTGCCGCGATGCGCTCGCCAAAACGCGGGCCAACGCGCTGAGCCAACACGCAACGCATGGGCGCGGACTTGCTTGAGCACGGCACGCGCTGCGCTCCAGCACGGGCGTGGCGAGACAGCTCAGCCTCCTCTGCACCACCCTGAGCGTGGGGGAGAGCGGGCCTCCCCGCGTTGAGCTTCCCCGCGCGCAGCTTGGCGTCCACGCTCGGCAGCGCCGCCTCCAGGGCCGCCAGCAGGCTGGAGC